GAGTAAAGAGGCGAGATGTTCTAATCACAGAGTTAGAGCTGATTGAGTCATTATCAGGGGAGACCTCCCAACAGTATATGGGAAAAATGGTTGAGCTACTACGGATTAGGCGGCGATGGGCTTTCTAGATGATAACATGATTGAACATGTGGATGTCGCCACTTTCATGGGTCTGGCCAGCTATATAAGTTGATTGACTGGTCTAGAGTGTGAATTTGAGCTGCAAAAAGCTTCATAAAGCCTTGTTACATCGTGATCTCATGGATTTGAGGGTTCAATGTCTCATTCTTCAAGACTACATTGATTTGGGTCTTCTAGGTCAGTTTACTTCTGGGGGAGACTTTACATTGAGGAAACTTACCTGTCCTGTTTAACTCCCAATAGAGGCTATGTCAGACCCTTATATAATGTTCTTTCTATTTCCTAATTGATGTGATAACTACTTGTAATAATAATAATATTTTAATAAATAATATTTGCCGTTTTGGCTTCTATGTTTGAGAAGTGATGCCAATTTTACTTTTATGGTTTGTATTACTTAGACTTTTCCTTTTTTTACTCTTTTAAATTTTGGGCACCTTCTACCTTTTTGCCCAATATAAAATTGATGATTTGACTATGAAGGTTTTATTATCTTGTCATTTTATTTTGAATTTTTTCTCACTAACTTTTTGTTTATATGGATTCTTTTGTTTGAGCTTCTTCCAATTTCCATCCTTTTATCTAGCACAAAGGAAAGATCTGCTTAAGTCGTCAAAAAAGGATGATGTGCAGGTGGAGCGGTATCTGATATCTAATGTGTGTTATGTTCATTCACCTACATATCTCAAAAAATAATGAGAGGCCTAACAACTTTTAAGTAGCAGAGCTGGCTTTTTTAAAAAGACCAATTCCAGCTTGAACTTAAGCTTCCTTTATGCGATGAACTCGTCTCAATTTTTAATTTTATTTTGGCTTAGTCCTAGCTCATATGATGCCCAACTCAATCTCTATTATCATGACAGTGGTCCTACACATATATTGGATGAACATCCCTTAGTCGATCGAGTTGTTTAACATTTTGTTGTTATCTTTGCACACCAATGTTGGGAGCTTTATTCAATTTTTGTTGGAAATAAATAGAGTCTGCACATAGGTTTGGAGAGTAAGATGAAAGATTGAAAATCTAAGTTCTTTTTTGCCTTTACAGAAGGTGAATGATCGATTAGGATGAGCCCAAATTTTAAGTCAAAGAAGGGCGGGCCCAAAGCTTCTTATGAACTCTTGCAACTGGCCTATTGTGTGATGAGTGTGCAATTCAATGTGCACAAGAACTTGAAAAAAATCACTGCAAAAAATATTTTGGTTCCATATGCTTTTCGATTCATGACTGAGGGGTAATGGGCATTTGTAGATGTTCCTCGAGAGAAAACAAACATGGTGTTAGCTAAAGAAAACCAAGAACAACTGCTTGGTTTTGCCTCCTTAGGTATGGTTAGTTGTTTGTATTATATATTTCTCTCTACTATTGTTATTCAAAGGGATGTAAAAAATGACTAAATCTTGATTGGAAGATAAGGGGTTGTTGAGGGCCCGATGAGTAACATTGTCTCTTACACAAATTCTTGTACGAAAGCGAAAGAAGAGGAAGCGACTAGTAATGATTGGTCTATGGATGACAGCGTGACTGATGAAGTTGACTCTGACCACCTGTGCAAGGATACTTAATGAATGGTCAATATTTGAAACCCAAATCCACTCAAATTTATGCATTTCTCTTCATTAGTAGTTGACTTGGGAAGCCTTCCTCCAAAGGCTCTTTCTATGAGGGTAGTGACAATCTTCCATGCAAAGAGGATGTCCTGAAAAGGCAACCCACAAGTGAAGTGGACACTTCAGTGGCGTCGGGTCCCTTTCTGCATTTGAGTCAGATTTATGATGTGTGAGAACTACCAGCTAAGGTAATAGATTTGAATTGTGTTAAAGTGCCTCTTTCATCATCTCCTCATCTGATTCTTAAGTTTTTGAATCTGTTGTGCCACAAAATCTCTGGTGCACTCCATGCTTCACTTGCTGTCAAGGATACTCTCTTCCTCTGTTGTTACTCTTCTTGTTTGTGACATGATTTCATGCTCATCACACCTTTCAAGGTGTTGATCCCATATTTATCCTTAGATCGTGCCCATGGAATAAAATGTGCACAAGAAATGAGGAGAATAGTGATAGAAAAAAGACAGAAAAGCTGATGAATTTGACAGAGATTCTTTAGCAGAAAAAAGAAGTCAAAGGAAAGAGAGAGAGAGAGTGAGAGAGAGAGAGAGAGTAACACAAGATATTTGCCTCCTGGTTTTAGATGTGATTGCACTGGCTCAGGTGTGCTCAGGTTAAGATCGGTCGCCACCGAGATTTCAGTTTCTGTTCAAGCTTCCAGGTATACCTTTTTGGCTCCATAATGTTTAATGATCGTTCTTTAACAACTGTCTATGACAACTCTTGGTCACTCGAGAATGTCTTCTAGTCGCCTTTATTGGCTCGAATGTTTAGGCAGCCGAACAATTAAAATTTGAATGAAATTCCACTTGAAAGTTACACTAAACTAATTTCACTGGAAAAAGAATTGATATAAAGTCATATATCATATGGTATTGTATAATATATAGGCAAGAAAGCAAAATAAAATGCACTATATATTTGTTTTATAAGCTATGAATTTGAAGATGAGGGATTAGATTAAAGTAATTATTACCATATCTCTGAATTTAGTTTAGAAAACGTACGGCTTCTATCTTTTCTTTTTTTTGGTGGTTTTGGTCTCCAAATTCAGAATTCGAATTACATAATATAGGAAAATTTACATACATACCACACAATTTCCATGCATTTACATGTCTAACACCCAAAATTTAAGAAACTGTTAATTGCATTTTTTATGTGATTTTAAAATTTTAGTTGTATGCATGTAAATATCAATGTTTAGATGTTACATATGTAAATGCATAAATTGTGCGGCATGTATGTAAATATCTCTATAATATATTATTTTTTAGCAAATTGTCTACGTTATGCTTCAAACGGCATTATGAGACTGATGTCATATGAAAAATGATTATATTGCAGTTCTATATTTGTGAAATTAATGGGGCATACCACACAGTTCTTATGTATGTACATATCTAACACCTAAACGTTAAATTTTTTTTACTTTAATACCATCCAAATCTTTAATATGACATAAAAAGCAAACATTTTAACTTTCAAATGTGTGATACATCTTTCTCTTGCATAGGGAAAGGTGGCATGTAGGTAAAATCCAAAATTTAGGTGTTAGATATGTAAATACATAAGAATTGAGTTGTATCTTTGAAAACAGTTGACCGTCTTCAAACCGAGGATGGATGGGGGGACTTGACTTCTCCTTTGGCTTCCACTCACAGCTCTGTGGGGGCCTCTTCTGGGGGTAACGATCTGACGGTTTGGTTTTAATGACATTATCTTCAGTGTTATAGTGTTTGCTAGTCTTCTCCAACAGTTCGGCCAAACTTTGCAGTTCCACATGTTGAGGTCATATCGTAACCTGTCTCCCCTCGGGCCTTAGGTTAAGGCAACATGTGCATTTCAGCCCTTGTTTAATCAGTCACAAGGCTTGCACACTCTTATTGGGCCTCTAAGCCCTTGCAAACCGTGCCAAAAGAGTCTCATGAATTGAGCGAAGCAAGCGATCCCTCCGACCGGTAGTGAGTTGAACCACCTCAAGGCCGATAACCTTATGGTGGTAAAGAACATGTAACACATAAGAGCAACAGAGATTTACAAAAGGCACATAGACGATTCAAATGATGCATGTTGGTCATTAGGATCAGATCAACCCTTTGATTGAGAGAAATGTTTTAGCACATTCTCCGGTTGCCCATCGAAGAAAGTTTTGCCCTCGAGATGTTTCTCGAGGAGCGTTCATCCCTTGAGACCTTAGTTCCTACATGTCTCGTTGCACAAACCCCTCCATAAATTCCCTGGTGCATTTCATGTTTACAAAATCTCTCTGGTGGCTTTCTTCTTACTGTGTACTTCTCTTCTTGTTCATGACACGACTCCACGCTCAACGCACCTCAGGACGTTGAATCCAGAATTGCCCAAGAGACACCTAAGGAATAAAGCATTGTAAGAGAAAGAAAGGCAAAGAGAGCACAATAATGGACAGTAGAAAAAACGTGTTACCTTTATTCGACAAATAACCCTACTTATACACATAGGGGGTACAAATGTGAGATTACAGTTGTGTACATTTTGTTTGGACAATGAGGGTTATGTTAGTGTTTTTCAAATACGAGATCGATATACCAGTTGGTAGGTATTTCCATATAAGAGACTTCTACGGATCGATCTGGTCTACGGGTAGGCCAACTGGTAAGGCCAATGATATTGTGGTTTTTAGAGGATAAAAAATTGAGGAATGAATAGGTCAGTCAGCCCAAGACTCGCTCGCATGAATCTTATTGTCATGGTTCCGAGTAGGTAATAACCCCGTCGGTCGATCCTTCCGTCGATCACTATTTTATCCTCAGAGAACCGTTAAATCTCTTCAAGATTCATGCTGACACATTTAAGATATACAATTCATTCTATTTCTTTACTTCTTTTTTTTTTTTCAAAATATTTGTTCTGAGGAATCTTTGTAATGTGAGGATAAAGGGGCCTTAATTTCTTCGACTGCAGATGTAGTGTGAAGACCCCTTTGCTACAGATGGTTTGCTTGAAATGATGGATGGTTGTGGCAATGGAGGTCATATGGCTGCAAACTCCAACGATCGCCTGAAAGATTCATGACAATTGCAAACTCCAGCGATGGCCTGAAGGGATTCATGACAGTCCCATGGCCGTCTCCCATGGCAGGATTAGCTCGAAAGAGGATGTGCTAAGAAGCATGGTAAATACTTCTTTTAGTTTTTTCGAAATTCCGTCTGTTTTAAAAATCTCAGACATCAATCTTTGCATTTGATGAGTACGAAAATTTAACATATGAAGCCAGAAGATAAAGATACAAGATGCATTTCTATCCTTAAAAAATTACTGCTGCTGCTTTAATAATAAAAGGGGCACCAACATACATACCAGTCAATTCTTGTGTATTTACAGATCTAGCAGCCAAGCTTTTATCTTTTATATTTGCCACCCAAATATTTCCTATCACAACAATAATACCACTATTTTAAATTCTGAAACGTAAAATACGCCGTTTTATGCTAGACATGTAAGAAATTGAAGTCCAGGGGTGGGTTGGATATGTAATTACATATGAATACTGGTATGCTTGTAAATAAGGCTGAATGAAGGTTTCTTTAAAGCATTATTGCAGCGAGAAGAGTTTTTAAGCTGTGTGCACAAATTTAGTTAGTGCTGTGGAGTCCAGCGCAGGAAAATCCTTCGTAACAGCAAGAACAGATAGCCCCAATTTCACAGCATCCTCATGGCTTGGTGCCTGCAGTGATTTGATAATAAATTAAAATTCATACATGAAAAAATTAACTGTCATTAGACTTGTAAATGATTTAATCTCGAGCCGATAAGGGGAGTAAAAGAGTTGAACTGAGTTTGGGCCACTTCTGGCTTGAGAATAAGTTTAATCAATTAATCGAGTTTAAACTTAAAACTTGAGCTTATTCTAAAAGTTTTGAGTAGCTCACAATCCGACTCATTCATTATGAAATTCAAGTAATTGTTATAATAAAATGATAGAATGAATGAGTAATTAAAAGGGACAATAATAAAATCATTCGATATAAATAAAATATAAATTTAAAATAGTTTAATAATTTATACATCAACTCTTGAATTTTAATATATTAAGTGTATTTACATTAATATTCTTTTAAATGAGCCTGCTCACAAGTTGAGTCAGGGCTAGCACAAGCTTAGCTTCGTATCTTATTGAGCTCAACTTACGAAGCTCACAAGTTGAGTCAGAGCTAGCTCAAGCTTAACTTTGTATCTTATCGAGCTCAGCTAACGAGCCAGTTATCGAGTTGTGCTCGAGTTGGCTCACAAATCAGCTTGGCTCAGTTAAAGCCTTCAGCTCAACCCAAGTGCGGCCTGATCTCTCAATTATTTTTTCTTCCTCTTAATACAACATATATACTTCCACACACGCACGCATAATATATATATATATATATATACATGTTCAATCTTCAAACTAAGGTATCAGGCCATATTAGTAGTTAAAAGATACAAAAAAATAAGACATCAAAGAGAAGTCAGTACCTCAATATTGAGTGGAAGAACAGGGTCATGGAGTGAAAGTCTTAGAAGAAACCATCCACCATAACCTGAAACTCTAACCTGTATATCAAACAGACCGGAACATACAGTAATTTCCCTGATACAATTAAAAATTTAATGTGGCATTTAGCATACATACCATCCAATTCCTACGTATTTATTTATCTAACACCTAAATTATACCTTTTTACATTTATACCACACAAATCTTTCATATCACATAAAAAATACCATTATTTTAACTTTCAAAAGTGAAATACAAATGTTCATGCATAGCAAGGTGGCATAAATTTAAAAATTGAAGTTTAGGCGTGAGATATGTAAATACATAGGAATTAAGTGGTACGTATGAATATCTTATAAATTTAATTTAAAAACAAGTTTTATGATGTGTGGCCTCAGATATTATTTATCTGATAGTTTTTTGTTTTTCCTTTTTTAACAAAATACGGATCTTGTCATGACTCATGAGATAAATTCTTGAGATGTGATGCCAATATTATAATATTAGACCATAACAGACTGCGAAAAAAAGGGGCGAATTGAATCACACAACACCATATCAGTTTATTAACCAAGAGAAAAAATATGCCCAAAGATGTTTAACCGTGTCCTTCAAGGAGCCAAAATATGAAAAAAACTTGGGCTTAATGGACTTTAAAATTGTTATTATTACTTGGAGAAAATGCAATATAAAAGATGAGTGATCACACTCATCTCAAAGTAAATTAACAGTTTTAGAATCTCTTTAATAAATTTTGAACAGAGTATTATAAATGACTTAGAAGATTTAATACAAATGATACCTCTTGAAGAAAGAATTTTTATTAGAAGAGATTTAAATGGACATGTCGGTAGAGTGGTAGAAGATTTCAAAAATATTCACGGTGGCTATCATTTTGGAGTGACGAATGAAGAAGGTAGAGTCATTTTAGATTTTGCTTTAGCATATGATTTTGTTTTACTGATACTTTATTAAAGAAAAGAGATGAGCATCTATTACTTATAAGAATGAATCTAATAAAACACAAATTGATTATTTTCTTATAAGAAGAAGAAATCGTCGAGATTGTAAAGATTGTAAAGATTGTAAGAAAGATTGTAAGATCATTCTAAGTGAGGATTTAAATACCCAACATCGATTATTAATTCTAAATTTTAAAATGAAGAGTTGTTAAAGAATGTTAGGACTCATCATCGTAAAATTAGATGGAGGAACCTAAAAGACACAAATAAAATTATTTTTATGAGTAAAATTCAAGATTTTAAAATTTGGGATGTTCATGAAGATACATATGCTATGTAGGATGAAGTAATAAACACTATTAAACAAGTAGCAAAAGATGTACTTGGAGAATCAAAATAAAATTTTTTTATAAATAAAATTAGTTAGTGGTGAAATAATAATGTGCAAGAAAAGATAAAATATAAGAAATATTGTAAAAGCTTGGAGAATTGGAAAAAAATATCAAACGCCTCGTAAGGAGTCTAAAAGAACAATTTGCGACGCTAAAAATTATGTTTTTAGTGATCTTTATGATAGATTATATACTAAGAAGGATGAAAAATATATGTATAAACTAGCCAAACAAAGAGAAAAGAAAATTAAAGATTTAACACAAGTAAAGTGTATTAAAGATGAAAATAAGAAAGTGTTTTTCATAGAAAAAGATATTCAATATAGGTGGGTGAGTTTTTTTTTTATAAACTTTTTAATTAAGTTTCTGAAAATACGATCGACCTTAGTGATCCTAATATCGTTAATAATAATAAAACGTTTTATTTTCACTGTTGCATTAATAAAAAAGAAGTTGAGGAGGCTTTAAAGAAAACAAATGGTAAAAAGTCTATAAGACTTGAGAATAACCCAATTGAAGTTTAGAAATATTTAGGAGATTTGAGAGTTTCTTAGCTTACTATACTCTTTAATATTATTTAAAAAACTAAAAAGATGTCTGAAGAGTGGAGGAAGGGTATTTTGGTCCCCATTTTTAAGAATAAAGGGAATGCACAAAAGTGTGCAAACTATAGAAAAATTAAGTTGATGAGTCATACTTTAAAATTATGGGAGAGGGTAATTGAATATAGGTTAAGACGTATTACAAAGATTTCTCAAAATCAATTTGGTTTTATGCCGGGCAAGTCTACCGTGGAGGCTATACATTTATTGAGAGGTTTGATGGAGAAGTTCGAAGATAATAAGGAGGATCCACATTTGATTTTTATTGATTTAGAAAAAGCTTACGATAAGGTTCCAAGAGTTGTCCTTTGGAGCGTTCTTGAGAAGAAAGGTGTTGATAGGACTTATATTCAAGTAATTAACGATATGTATACTAGAGTTGTTACTTGTGTTCGAACTGAAGGAGGATTGACCACATATTTTCCTATTTCTGTTGGATTACATCAGGGATTGGCTTTAAGCCCATATCTTTTTGCTTTAGTTATACTGAAAGAAAAATTTTATAAGAGGGCGGTGAGACCTGCAATGCTCTATGGAGTTGAATGTTGACCTTTAAAAGAGAAGCATGATACTAAGTTAAGTGTTGTCGAGATGAGAATGATTAGGTGGATGAATGACTTTACACTTAGAGACAAAATGTGAAATGATTGTATCTGGGATAGGGTTTGTGTAGCTCCAGTGACGGACAAAATTAGAGAGAGTCATCATAGATGGTTTGGTCACATTAAATGTCGACCATCTGATGATCCGATTAGGAGAGTAGTTAAGAAAGGCAGAGGTAGACCTAGGAAGACTAGGGCTTATTGTATAAAAAAATGATCTTAGTTTATTAAGACTAAATGAAAATATGACACTAAATAGGACGCAATGGAGAAAAAAGATTTCTGTAGCCGACCTGACGTAGTGGGATTAAGGCTTTGTTGTTGTTATATTATAAATGACGAGGTTTGTGCTTCTCATTGAGCACAAAGGAATTCTTTTTATAGTAGAAAATAAGTCAAAATGGAAGGAGATGTACTAAACGATATTAAAGTAATGAACACAGATTAGGCTTTTCTAATAAATACAAATTGGGGTTTTCAAATGTAACAACCTAATCACCTACTAAGATATTGTCCATTTTGGCGTAATGGCCTCATGGGTTTGTTTCATTGGTGTAACTTCTCAAAAGGTCACCCATCCTAAGAATGCTCCCACACATGTACTCTAATTTTTGGAATCTTATGAAATAACCATTACACTAAATGATGCCTCGATGTTTAAGAATTCAGCTTCATTTTACTTGACAAGTTTCACAATCTTTCCCACTAGAAAACTGATGCCCTCCTCAGTGTTGTTAGCCTAGAATCATCCACCAAGAAGATAAGATTCTAGAAATAACCCCTATAGATTCAAGAGGTGATTCACACAAAGTAACACTTTTGTCCCATCTTTAAGAGGTGGCTCCCATGGTATAGAACTTAGTTCTATTCTGTTCTTAATTCTCATCTTTAGAATGGTGTAATACTCTGTTACATTTGTAATAGTATGAACTCTCATTCATCGAGATATTGTCCGCTTCGACCATATGGCCTTATAGTTATCCCATTGGTGTAACTTACTAGGGGTCACCCATCTAGAAGCGTTCCCACATGAGCACTTTTAACTTTGGAGTTTCTAATGAATATTTCAACTGTTACACCAAAAAACATATCAATGTTTAAGAGTTCAACTTCATTTTACTTGATGAGTTCAACTTCATGTTACATAATGAGTTTCACATTAATGTCTCAACAATTCTCGTGTATAGTACTTGATATAGAAGTCCCTGAAGCTCCTCTCTTAGTATTTACTCCTTGATCGATCTTCTTGCTTGACTTCTTCCTCTAAACTCCTTGAGTGCCTCCTTGTTTACCAGAAACTCCAAAATCTCATTCCCTTCTGTCATCAAATAGAGTGACTAAAAAAGAGAGTAGGATGGCTTAAGGTAGAGACGGTTGTATTTAAAATTAGTTAAGTTTATATGATCGTATGAGTGTTAAGGAGAGAGGATGGGATGTTTATTGGATTCTGGAACAATTGCATTGCTTGAATAAAAACAAATGGTCCTAAATCCCTATTATTCATACAAGTCTAAATTCCAGGATAAGAAAGATAAATGAAAAGGGTTCTCACTCATACATAAAAGGCCACAATAAACGACAAGCTCTCATTCAGATAGTGTCATGACCCGACTCAGAGGCTTGGAATTTTTAAGGCGGGAATGGATGATCAGATAGTAAAATTAAAATTCAATTATTTATGCTAAATCAAAGATAAAGAAAAAGCCACTAAAATTTTAAAAATTAAATTAAATAAAAAAAAATTACATTTCTATTTTCTAACCTCATATTTTACCCTCCTCCCAAGATGATGCGCAAGGTAGCTGCTTGGAGTAGTTTATGGATATGGGTTCTTGGATTTATTATTAAATTACTCTTGCATTCAATTTGCAAAAGCATTATTTCTCTTCATTGATGGTTAGCATTAATCTCAATTTTAGCTCCATAATTAAACATTTAAGTGTGCTTAATATTCGAGCCAATCAACCAAACCCAAACATAGAAAGTGGATGACTATATTTTAAGAAAAAAAAAAGCCCAAGGCTAATATATTAAAGAGAAAATATACAGATAAGTTGTATGAGTGGGCCCAAAAATAGGCACCCAACCCACACGGTATAACACATACAAAAAATTCAAAATTGGAACATATAAAAATAAAAAAAGCCCAAAAGCACCAGGGCGCTGAAAAAGTAAGGGTCATACCAATTTAGTTATGTCTTTGCCTCTAGTTCTTGGAAGGGATCCAACTAAAAAATTAATAAGGTGCATACCGTTACCCAAAGTAACCAAAGTATCATCCATAAGACTCCCGAGCTCGAGTAGATCTCCATTCTTCTTCTTCCTCCTGAAAGTGTAAACCTGTCATTCTTCATCGACAGGATCAGTCTGATGAGGTGGTAGAGTTGTAGCAGAAGGATTATTAGCCCTAATACCCACAATAGGTTCTAGTATATGTGAAACATGAGTTGCCTCTACACCGGATACTTCCTGAAGATGGAGAGTTGTGAGGTTTCCTG